AAATGCAACTCAAACCAGTCTTGTACGGTTTTCATCACCGTGACCTCCGAAAGATATAGCAAGGTCATTGACCTAAAATGAGTACAAAAGGGTTTTTGTTGGAGCAGGCATCAATATTTTGGTTACATCTTGGACACCAGTCTGGAATTTGACCTTGTTTCACATTTTTTTTTAACCCGACCTTCATGACCTAGGGAAAGTCTAACTTCGACACAAGTGAGTTCGCATGCAGTCAAAAACACCTCATCAATTTCGTATATCTAGCTCTCTTAAATTCTGAGACCTCAGGGGAGGTCAGTTTGCCCCCTCCCCCCGCACCACCTGCGTGCAGAGTATTGGACCGGCCACCCGGGCGCGTGTTAAAATATCCTGGTCATAAACATCGAGCAAAGGGCCTCCAGCTCCTTGCAACGCATCAATGAAGCGAAAGAAGAAAAGGGTTTACCACACCGACAAAAGTGTAACTAATTTGCTTTGAACACGCCACACGCTGTAGCGCACAAATCGTTGGGCCGACCCAATAAGAGGTTTTGAAAGTAGACGTCATATCCCGTAACATCCATAGGATGGAAGGATGCAGAAACATTTACATCGTGTAGGTGGCCGCACTACCTACGATTCATACAGGGATCTCACTGTACCATTAATACACGATTTAATAGCATACTGCAAAAAATGACTCTTCACCCTTGCCTAAGCCGTTCTCAACCATAACTCAACTTGACCTAAGACTAGATAAATTGCGTCAAGGAAACTGCTTAGACACACGTCTCATTTTATTGTACAAAACATCCTCCAAAGAGTGTATTCTGATACCATCGCTACCAATGCGAAGAGCATTAAACATTCGAGGTGACTCGAGAAAAACCCAATCGACAACAGTTCCAGACAACCATCGGGCAATGGTCTTGTAAAGTTCCCGCAAACACTAAAGATCAGAGCACTCCCACCAGTCAGCCATCGAATAAGCATATTCAAACCACTGATAGGCCTATTCGGTTGTAGTCAGTCAACCTATTGGGATGTGAGCAGTCCGACCATCCACATGCGACAGCTCTGGCTATTGTTTGCTCGGCGTTTACTGCTTATCGCCAGTTTATTGCTGTCAATGTCAGGACATAAGTTCACGGCACACCACGTTCAAGGTCTAAGAAGCCTCGCAACATTAGAACTTCATCCCGTTACTTACGAATCAGGGCCTACCACAATGCTAAGGACATACTAGGAGAAACGTCTGCCTTGCGGTGCTTTTATTGACTTTCGCTGTGGTCCCTACCATTCGGAAGGTTGAAAACCTAAACATTTAGCTGACGCATACAAGTTAACTGCGGTGAAGGGATCTCTGAGAAGCTGGACAGACAAAATTCATGGCGAAACTTCAATCCTTTGTTGTACGTTCCTTCCAACAGGGACCTGTCAGGAAAAACAGTGCTGTGACTAGAAGGCTTAGGTGAGGTGAGGTGAGGTGAGGCTTAGATGAGGTGAGGTGAGGTGCGGCTTAGGTGAGGTGAGGTGAGGTGAGGCTTAGATGAGATGAGGTGAGATGCTGCGACCAGAAGGCTTAGGTGAGGTGAAGTGAGGTGCTATGACTAGAAGGCTTTGGCGAGGCGAGGTGAGGTGAGGTGAGGTGAGGTGAGGTGAGGCGAGGTGAGGCGAGGTGAGGTGAGGTGAGGTGAGGTGAGGTGAGGTTAGGCTAGGTTAGGTTAGGTTAGGTTAGGTTAGGTTAGGTTAGGTTAGGTTAGGTTAGGTTAGGTTAGGTTAGGTTAGGTGAGGTGAGGTTGCGTTTTGTGTTAACTGTGAAAACTGCACCCGTTCGGCCGGCGATGGTCTCCCTCGGAGCAAATGAACCCCTTCGGGGTTCGAGGGGGAGGGTGCATGGCCCCGTGCCCCCCCCCCCTCTGGATCCTCCCCTGACATGGCTCCGTTGAAGGGGGTGTTCCACATTTGTATGGAGTTTTGAACTGAAATTTCTATCTTCAAGATCGTTCGGTGCAGTTCACATCCATGCTTCACATCCAAATCCTTGTAGTTTCTGAGCTGCACGCCCGCGAATATATGCAGACTTTTTCGGGACACTTTTTCAAGGCCACGCAGACATTCATGATGCCATAGCAACGCCATACAAATTCTGTCATTCCATTGCCCATGCGTTGGGCAAGACCAGGTAAGATATACTCGTCTAATCGTTCACATCTGGCGTTAGTGAGCACGATTTTCACATAATAAAATCAAATAGCTTTCTGCCATCAAATAGCTTTCATTCAGTGTTGTGCAAGGTACGATGACGTAATCAAACAATTATGCATTAATGACCATATTTACTACACAAAGCTATCGCGCTGGCTCCTTCAAGTGTGGCACAGTCTCTTTAATGCACAATATCGGCCCGTCGCGTGCGTTCCGCAGCTTCGTCGCTTGCCGTCCGCCACACGCGCAGGCCGTAGATCGCCGCGCAGTGCTCCTAAAAAGACGTCGCTGCTCCGAAACCAGATACACTAGAAACAGGCTTTTGGTAACGGAATACGCGCAATAGACGCCACACAGGCTTCTGAAAATTTAAGCGCCATTGCCCGAAACGCCGGACAGGTATCATCAAAAGCTCTTTGGGGGTCGCATCGGCCCCCCTCCTATCAGTGCGAGGGGGAAAAACAGCTAAAAAAAACTCTAGCCGCAAGTGCTTAGAAACAGTCTGTGTAAAAGAGAACAACACAGAACAACGACAACATAGGGCGGAGATGAGAAACAGTCTGTGTAAAAGAGAACAACACAGAACAACAACAACATAGGGCGGAGATGAGAAACGGCGGCCCAGACGGGCTTGCAGCACCCTGGGACGCGCGTCGATAGATTGGAATGCACATCCTGTAGCCTTAGGATGGGCGTTGCCATGGTGCATGAAGGGTTGGCTGCCCTAATGGCGGAAGTGAGGGCTGAGCCCTGGGAGACGTAAATGCAGAGCGTGCCATTTCAGTTCAATATAGGAGATTTTCCTTAAAAATGAGACAATCTCTGGCAAGTTACAAGAATTTCTTCCACTCTAAGAGCAGTGGCCCATATCTCAGCTGAGAAATACTCTTGAGGGTATATAAGGGTAGATGGGGCATTATTCCCTACGTCCCTTTCTCACCTAACCCATTCGGCATCATGGATCTGCAAGGTATTCAACGAATAGGAAAATCGTAGTAAAGTAACAGGGAAATTTTTGGCACCTGCCCTTCTCAGCCTACCTTATTTTCATATTTCACTTCATGTAGGTACTGCAGTACGACGAAAAGTTTCATTCCATGTAGGTACTGCAGTACGAAGATAAATAGACAATCATTACCCAGTTATAAATCTAACGCAAACATTACATATGATATTCATGTATTTACAAATAAATATGCATTTCACAGACATTACATAGAAACGTTCAGGCACGTTGACTTCGACGAATATGGCGCGGGTACTGGACCTAGAAAATGTTGTTTAGTATGATCTCTTTTTGGAAGCAAATCGTAGTATCGATTTGTCTTTAGAACCCTTTAAATCCAAAATGTGCAATATCTGTTCCCATAACGTTGAAATAAAGATGCAGAACAGGATTGCTACCCAGGTCACTGGCGAAATCTCAGTTCGCTAGCATGTTGCTTGTATCGACCAACCTTTGCGTAGCTTTAACCAAAAACCATACTAAAGGCGTCCAAACTTTAGTCCCATGCTTACGTCACGTCTGCATAGTCTTCTCTACTAGCCTTGGGTCTAGCAAGAAATAAAAAGAAATTGTGATGCTGTTACCAAACGTTTCAAGCGTAAGTTGGATAAGAAAATGATTCAAATAATCGTCCTCATTATATCATGACGGTGCTGCATTGGCATTACCCAGCGTTATTACTAAACTAACTGGTTCTGAAGTCCCAATGAAGTATGCTCCTAAAAAATGTTCCAAAGTTTGCTGCACTCTTTAATCACTATTGCCGGGATAGTTAAGGTCGCTTATTTTCAATGTAACGACTGATAATGTGAAACACCAGACGCTGGAGGCCTGTTGTGCCCATCTGCTTATCCAAGTGGCAACGACGAACGGAAACGAACGTGATTTGTCGAGGTGTGCGTTCCGCAAGTTGTGGATAGATCGGGCTGGAAAGTAAAACCGCAGAAAAACTTTGATTTGCCTTGTTGTTCCCTTATTAATTTGCCTTGTTGTTGCCTTATTGATTTGCCTTGCTGGAAGTGTAGAAAATATCAGTCATTTTTGGCATACTCTGGGCTAGCACATTTCACCCTGGAATAAGCATTACCCTGGTTAACAATTTCCATCAACCCTAATCTAGCCAAGCTTTGCATGACGTGACGTAACATGACTGATTACAAAGGCCTTTAGAAGATGTGTTTTTATGTCCATTACAATATTCTCTTCATCGATGTCTGAAGCGTCAGTGAAATTTTTCTTAGCTACAGCACCAGATTTCCAGATTCTTTTCTTGCCAATCGGAGCCCGAGTACTCAGTTACTGATTTGGTGTCCGAAACCTTAGTTCTCACGTTATAAGCTCAAGTCCAAGGCTGGGTCATCCGTACATTTACTTAGTCCGAGTCCCAGTGTCATAAATTTGGATGAATTTGGACCAAACTCGTATCTGCCGTGCCCATCCGTGCATGCTAGCTGGGTATTCTTTCACTTCCAGACCGTCAGTAGAAGCGCGCAGTTCAGATGACACGCGGTGTGGGGATGCCTTCTGGACGATGAGAGTCAACAAAAAACACCAGAACGTTCAAGGCTTGCCGGTTACATCGGCTGCTCAAGTCTACGAGAAAGCAGAAATTGTGCAAGATCTGTGGAATACACGTACCTGAAAGGTTATATCGGGAAAGCGATGGGATTGACTGGAAAAATGCATGCCTAAAACAGAGTTACATGCAATCTATCACTGTTTGCCCATGTAGCACCATTTGCATGGTCCGTGGAATCGCCGATGCGCAGGAATGGTCACACCATTCCGACACAAACACTCCTGCACACTCAGATCACCACTCCATGTTCATTTCTCCACTTCGAACTATCACCATTAGTTGCACATTGTCTGAGCATTAGCATGATATCACTCAAAACAACACATCAAACACTTTAAAATGGCTTGACATTAACAATAAAAGCACCTCCTCTTCCTCAGAACATCGCAGAAAACCTCAAAGCCCACGGTCTCCGACTCATATGGTGAGGACCACCGTCTGGCTTCACCATGCTCATGCAGCAGCCTTCCCACAACCAGCCCACGGTACGAGCGTGCAACGTGATTTGCCAGCCATGGGAGGCACAATGACGGGCACTAGCAGCCCCCACTGCGGGAGTGCATCATTGGAAAACCAACATTTCGCATACCGCATCAGGAAAAGCTACATATCGCATACCGCATCAGGAGAAGCTACATTTCGCATATCGCATCAGGAGAAGCTACATTTCGCATACCGCATCAGGAGAAGCTACATATGACAGACACAGATGTGAATCCTGACGGTCCACTACCCAAACCATTGTACACCCAGCCCTCGCATTTATGCAGAAGTAATGGTAAGAACGTCAATCCATACATCCCGTACAAAGAACAAAATAATTGCGCAAAAGAGCAAGGAATCGCTTCGCTTAGAGCAGTCTTGACATTTCATATTCAACTTTCAGCATGCCCAGGCCCACAAACCATGACAAAAGGGCACAAGGAGCGCAACATTTCCACACATGCTTGCCCGCCGCACCGTTTCCAAAATACCAAACGGTGGGCGACCCTGACTGGATTATTCCCTCGCCCCTAACCCCATTCCGACCCCTGGCCGTCAAACCATTCAACGCACAATACGCACTAACCAGCAGATATGCTCCTACATTAGGTCATTGCACGGTTGGCCGTACGGTCAGGTCAAATCCCGACCGTAAAAAAGAACAAAAAAAAAACAGGCATTCATTCAACATGGAGTACAAATGGACGGATTGGGACGGATGTGTTAGTTACCGAAATTGCAATCACCCGGTCGCGATGTTGACATTCGATCATAGTATTACGAGCATTTCCAGACGGCATCACAACCCTTATGGAAGGCATTGAAACCATGTGGAGAAAACTTACATCGATTGCGGGGCGTCACTGTGACAATTCGAGGACAGAACCGCGATCAAAGCAGCCGGCAGGGCACATCCACGCTTCTGTGCGCCCGGAGCCACTAAACAGCCGCTGTCTCCAATAATCTTGACATCTGGTCGTCGCCCACATCGTACTCGACGATGTGCGTGACGACAGTAGTCTCACGGCGCACGTGGCGGCAGGGTAGTACGTCGGTCTGCATCTCCAGTTGTTCCTCCTCCTCCTCGTCGCCATCACCGGCGGCTGCGGCGGGCGGCGCGGTGACAGCGGCTGTCCCGCCAGTGGCGCCGCCCTTCGGCTGCGCCTCGCATTCGGTCGGCTCCGGCGCCACGGGCGCCCTCTGCGCACTGATGGGCAGAGCCGACTGTCCGCCTGGGCCCAGCAGCTGGCCCTGCAGAGCCTCCACCTCGCGGTCCAGCAAGCAGCGCAGCTGCCCCAGCGCCATCTGGCCGTCCAGCCGGATGGTCGCCTTGCGCCGGCGCGCCGCGTCGCCACCGTCGCTGGTCTCGATCTGCACGGTCATCTGCGTGACGGTGATCTGCGGCGCGCCGAGCGAGCCCAGCGGGCCCAGCGGCAGCTGCTGGCCGAGCAGCTGCCGTCGTGGCGGCTCCTCAGGCAGCTGCAGCGACTCCTGGGCGGTGGCAGCGGCGCGCCTGCGCTCCTGGTTCAGCTCCAAGATGACGGACACCACGGCCAGCGTGACGGCGTTGGTGGGGAAGGCGCGGATCGAGGCCGAGTTAACACCGCGCACGAAGCCGCGCCAGCCCTCGCGCTGGAATGTATGGTGCACACAGTTGATGTAGCCCGAGTAGAGCTGGATGCCGGCCATGCCATCGGTCTGAATGCGCGTCTTGACCACGTCGATGGGGTAGGTGAAGACCCAGGAGGCGACGCCGGCCATGCCGCCCGCCAGCAGCATGTGAGACAGGCTCTTGCGCTGGTCACCGACCAGGCCGGTGGTGAGCAGTTCGTAGGTGCCGAAGTAGAGGCCGAAGGCGGGCACCTCGCGGGCCACGGTGATCCAGTAGCCGCGCATCAGACCACGCCAGCCGGTGCTGGCATACAGCTGGCGGCAGCAGTCCCACGGCGATCTGAAGAAGCGCCTGCCCATGCCGGTGGTGTCGCTCTGCACCTGCAGCTGGCTCTTGACCAGCTCCATCGGGCTGACGACGATCGCCTGGCAGCCGCCGGCGATCATACCCGCCCGGCACTGGGCGCTCAGGCAGTCCGGGTCTGCCATCAGCCGGCGCACGTTGCCCTGGATGCCGAAGGTGAGCGCGTTCACGGCCGCCACGCCGAACATGGGAGACGTCAGGCCGCGGTACAGGCCCCGCGTCTGCCAGCCGAGGGATCCCGTCAGGTAAGCGCCGCCTCCTCGGTTTCGGCGATCGCCTGACACGTACAGCAAATGAACACAATGCACACCACTCGGCAACCAGCGGGCGGCAGCAGGCAGCAAACAATGTGTGGCCATTTACTGCCGCCCGGAACTACATGTACATGAACTACATGTGCTCGCCAAGATGTGCTTATTCCAGTGTCTTGCGATTATGACACCGCTCATCATTAAACCCTATCACGCTCTGTTTTCGGACAATCGTCCGGCCCGAAACAGTATCTATGTGTTCGAATGCATGACGCTACACAATCGTTAGACACCAAACAATATGCAGCTAGCTGGGAAGCTGGCGCGACATCAAGGAGCTAAGTCTACCGCAGGTTAGGAGCCTGCTCGTATGCTGACTTGGCAAATTATGTGTAGTGGCAAGAGCATCAATGTATCATGGGCAGGCGGTAACTGAAGATAGGGCTGCTCCAAATTTTTCGATATTGCAAAGCCAGAAGTAGTGCGTGTGGATGCAAAATACGTGATCAGCAGCTTGACCACACAGCTGCGTAATACTTACTCCTTCTTTGACTAGAATACTGTGGAGACAGTGAAATGTTCCTCGATACGTCGGATTTCTTGCACATTGTGTCTGTATTCGCACCTGAAACATAAAGACTGCGTTAGAATCCAACGAATCGACCCGTTTACATCTCGAAGAAGTTTCGGCCGTGGTCCGTGGTTTAAGGCCTAGAGCTTGTTCTCAGTGTTGCTAGGCATGACAATCCTGTTGTGGCCCCATGGCGCCAACTCACAATGACGTCATAGGACTACTCTCTCTTACGATCAACAACCATGCCTGGCTAAGTGTCTGGCAGCGTGGTGTCTTCCCAACAGTCACGAAGGCACTTATGTTTCGTTTACAAATGGATTATGTAAGTAGCTTGTCCGTTCCGCCGGCCCCGTGTTGGGTACATCTCCGTCGGGCGCGCGTCTGCCTCCCCCGTTGGACGCGCTTGTGCTCTGCAGAAGCGGTGTACGAACAGGCGGCGACAGGTCAAGTGGAAGCGGCATGGTTGCCGGGGCAAAGGTCAGATAAAACAGGGCAGCCGAGACCAGCATTCCAGGCAGGCAAACACAGTGCACTAGACAGACCTATTCTGGCCTTTTTAACGATGATTCACCCTTGAACCATGCCGTTGCAATATGCCAAGGGATCAATAACTCCGGTAATATACCTTAACGCCACGTACGTACCTTTAAAAAATTAGGTATCAGCCAGTTATTGACAAAGCAGGCTCCTGTGGCCACGTCTAGCGCCACAGTCAATGTCAACGGGCCGATTAGCGACTGCTCCATCCATCCTGTTGGGCCATAGCCTCATGGTAGATGCTCAATTGCCCGGAAACAACCTGTCACAGAGAGATCTTCCTCTGGCGGCTGAACCGGGGGAGGCGGCGAGGGAAAAGGGTTCGGGCTGAAGCGCGCAGTAGGGAAGTTCACGGCCGGGGGTACCTGGCACGGAGAGGCCTTCCTCTGGCTGAGCCGGTGGGGAGGGGGAGGGGGGGGGGCGAGTGACCGGGGTCTGGTGTGAAGCACGTAGCACGGGGGTTCACAACCGAAGAGCCTGGTAGGGGTGCCTCGCGCGGCGGCGACCGGCACCGGTCCGAGCTGCGCCAATCAGATGAGCGCGCCGCTGAGGACGATGGCAGGATAGCCGCCACCCGGCGGCCAGCTATCAACTGATCACGACCGGCCTGACCACCGGCCACTGTGACGCAGGAGGGGAGAGAAACGCGTTTTTAGGCGGCCCCTGGCCGGCGCGGTCGGGGTCGGCCGTGGCGCGCCGAACGGCGGCGGCAGCAGCGCACGTGCCGCTCAGACCCCGGCTCGACACCACGGCCAGCGAGCTTCGGCAGAGCCTACACACATGGCTCTCAGGACATAGAGATCGAGACGGCATATGACAGCGTGGCTCTTAAGTCAGTTATGAGCAAGGGCATCTTATTTATGAGCCTTGGATATGCGTGTTGCGGAACGATGCCAAGAGATACGATGACCGAGACAGGAGCTCGGCAAAGGACCTCTGCGCCACAGCTAATAAAACCCGGGCATGTTTCATGCTTGCTTTGCAGCATGCCAAAGGAGTTGAAAAGCATTCCAGAGAAGTGAGCGGAATATCCCAACGCTCCTCTTTCGCGCTTTAAAAAGTGTACTTTATAACACATGCAGATTGCAAACTCTGAGCAAACACATGCCTCGAACCATACGGAAGTCGAGTGGTATTGCAGATGTCCTTCATTTCTGCCAGGCTAGGTGAGCCTTGACCTGTGCAGGCGACTTCCGATCGTACCACGAAACGTTCGAAATCCACCGTCCATTTCAGGCTAGGGCCCCAATGGCCGTCTTCGGCTGGGCACGACGGAGATTTGACCAATGAGCAGTGTGAAGAATACGGTTATGCAAACCTCCCTTGTCATTCGCCGAATCGCGCCGGCGCTGCTGTTGCCTCGCTGAGGATTTCTTAAGTGAATTCTAAAGGGAGGCCCTCGGCATGCCTGATGATGAAATATGTAGCCAAAGCAAGTCAGCAGGAGGCCATGCTGCAGGGTTGGCATGATGCATGCAGTTTTTGCCGAGAGGACACCGGCGTTCGCGTGTCATGAACCTATTCCAGTATATTCGAGAAAAGTTAACCTGCTTCACTTCTGATCCCACGCCCTATCTCCAGGTAACGCTAAACACCGTTTATTTTCCTTCCGTTGGCATCCAATTCGAAACGAATCAAAATCAACTGCAGTTAAGAATAATTTTAATTGGTATCCAATGCAAGACAAATCAGGATCAGATCAGCAAGGAATCATTTTAAGCATCTTTCATATTCACGGAAGACGAGGGCAAGAAGTACCCTAGTGCCCCAAGAAGTGTCAAATGACTCTTGCTCTCACTACCGAATGTGATTCCCAGAGAGGTATCGTGGTGCTCTCCAGAGCGCAAGCGGTGCCGCAAACCGGCTTTATTGGGGTCATCTGCATGCGAAGTACGCTCTGCCCTTGCAATTCCCGAACTCACTGGAAGAAACCGTGCAGTGATTGGTGGGCAAACCTCATCAATAGCGAATTGCTGTACCAAGAACCGAATTGCAATAGTTGGGAAAGGAGCTTGGACGGGAAAACCGCGTCGCTCAAAAAGGCAGTTCATTGGTTCTCAACTTTACCAGAGACTGTTGCATTTCGCAGGAGACGCATGCCGCAAGCTTGTCTTGCTCCTTCTAATGGAAATCCTTTCAGAAATTTCTCCCGGATCCCTACAAAAACGTTTAAGTTATGCTTAACTTATGAAGTCAGCAAGCATCTAGTTAAGCAACATGAGCCTAGTGGAGCCACCCAGACATCAAACTTTGGAACTACACCTTTTTACTATTTGTGCAACCCACGTCCCACTCCCAATATCTGTTTTGCACATAGCTGATCGTTGAACGCGTACTCATAATCACCACCCTGGTCCGTTTTGTACTCCGGGACTGGCTGAGTCATACGCGCAGTTGGTCACGGGTTTTCTTATTGCGCGTTGGGCTGTTGGCGGAAGAGAGCGCGGGCGCCTGTCCACTGTCATCACAGCACTGACATCATCACAGCATCAGCGGTGATGTTGATCAGGCGGTGATGTTGGACTCACCTTGACTGTGTCCAGGGGATGTCCTACAACCACGCCAGCCACTCCTGCAACACAACAAGATGCGGTCAAGCACTCACGAAGCCATGTAAAAAAGCGGAGGATAGCGAGGCCTCAAGGTGCCCGCCGTTTCGTCAACCATTTCCATTGGATGGCGTGACGTAACGTGATGCTCTGTGGCGGTACAGCAAGCAAGACAGACGATGAGGAAGTTTACGGACAATCGTGGGGAATTTTTGTGACCTGCTCTGCAGTGATGTGAGAAACACAAAGCTCTATAACGCCAAACACGTCATTGGTGTAATGCATTTTATAAGCCTCCTGCGACTTCGCTCGTGCATTGATGACCCGAGAGACCCCCGACCCCCGAGGATCGCGACCGGCAGTCGAGATAGGGCGACCTCAGCGGCTTTTAATATTCGTAATGCATGATACGCTGAGACCTCCCGATCAGAGGGACTTTGAAATACGTACATTCAACGGGTAAGATTTCCGTTACCCAAACTTCATGCTACCTGAGGGATTGTACCCATACCCACCCGGTACCCACTCCCGAATCAGCGGTATCCACTTGTTGTCCACCACTGATATTTTTACCAGCACTTAAATTCGAAATTATGAAGGAGTTTCAGGAAGCTTTGTCTACAAAGTCGATGTTTTTCGCTGATGAAAATTTGTGAAGGAGTGCGAATCTGATAATTTTGTTTTAAAAACATGCAGCAAAAGACATCGCGTGGTGTTTCTTGAAGTATACACTCCATGCTCGTGGACATCTTATCCATACAAAGGTTAGAGGGTTGCGCCCATCTCATCCACCCACCCACCCACCATTCATTTCCCAATCAAATGCGCCAAGTTGTAGACCACCAGTTTATATTTTCCAGCACTTCAAGTCACAATTACTTAAGGGTTAAAGGAAGCTTTGCCTCCAAACTCGCTCTTTTTCTTTGAACAGCAATTGCAAAAGTGGTGCGAATGTGGCTTCTTGTGATTAAAAAAAATCCCAAACGGTGACAGCATCTGGTATTTCTTGAAGTATCCACTCGACCTTCGTGAACGTCTTACCCACACTCGTATCCGTACATGTCATTTTCTCACAAGCTGAACCGAACCTAACCCACGACGACATAAGCAGGTTTACCCGCGATCCGAAGACCTCGACAAGGAAACAGTGCAGCCTGACAGATAGTCTTTTTGTTGCGCCTCACCAGTCGTCACGGTCGCTATTTACGTCTCGTAGCACGTACTAGCTCGTGGCTGTGCGTGAGTGCGCTGAGTGATGGCGCCGCCCATGATCTCACAGATTTACACAGCTCCAGGGCGGCGTGACGATAATGGGCGCGTCTGCGTCGAATAAGTGTAAGCATTCGGACTGATGTGAAGTCGATAAGGTTAACTTTGATTCATAAAGCTTGATCATGACACCCGCAAAGACGCCCCTTCGACGAGGAGGCCTACTGTGTCGCATGGACGGGCTTCTCGGCAATAGGCACTTTCTCGGTACACAGCAGGCCACGGTAAGCCAGTGTCTGCTCTGTACGATGTGGTGCGAAGCACTGCTGTGATGCCCGCGCTTCGCCTCCGCAGTAGCAGCCGGTGACCAGCATGCTCGACCGGCAGCTTCTGGGTCAGCTGTTTAATCTGGTTTACTGCTGAACTGGCAACTAGCGAGCTCCTGCTGCGGTAGCGGGCTCCGGTACAGTCTGTGGCCTCCTCTGGTCAGTCGGGCCCGCTGGCCCGTCAGCTCCTCCAGTCTGCCAGCTCCGCCAGGCCGTGGGCTCTGCCAGTCGCTGACTCGGCTCGGCTCCAACAGCCAGGCTGAGACCGGCCGCAGCGCCGCCGCCGCGAGAGCCCGGCCGCCGCGTGGAAACTTCCAGACCGGCGGGCGTGGGTCGGCCTGCCATCAGATACGGCGACCAGTCGGGCGGCCGATCGGAACCAGTCGGCCCCGCCGGCCGCGCCAGCGCCGCGGACCGGCCAATTAGCGGGCAGCGCCTGCTCCGGGGCCGGTTACCATACCGTGGAACACCGTCGTCGCGCCGTCGCCGGCGGCGGGGGCGTCGGCCGCGACGACGGCGCACCGTCCCGACGGAGCAGATGTGCTGGCCACGTGCGCCGCCCACGGCCACCGGAAGACGTGCACCCGGGTGTTGACATGTGTCTCCAACGGCGACGGGGGAGACGCACCGATCAACCTCCTATGGTGGCAAAGGGACGCGCGTAGCGAAGAGGCGTACGGTCAGCGGATTTGCTAGCACTCATGTCTCGCATGGAGACAACCAGCGCGTGCTGATGATATGTGTCCCCCATGACGACGTGGCGGGCGTGTTGACGCCGCGTGACATGAACTGACGTCGAGACAGATCACCGTGGTGACAACGCGTATCTTCCATAGTGAAAGGTGGCGCATGCCGGCTACATGTACCGTGCTATGTGCCTTGTGGTACTGTATACTCTGGTACCGTATACCACGTGGTACCATGCACGATGTGTACCACGTGAAGACAGACGCACAGACACCACGCGTCGTCATGTGATGTGCAGACGGAGCGAGCGCGCAAACGACGCGCGGTTGCCTGCTCGAGTCATACCCGATGTCATGGGAACTACCGAGAAAATCAGAGTTACCAAACGATTGGGACGAGGCATTAGTATCAAAACGATGTAATTATTCAGAATATCGCCCTCGCCTTTTGTGTTGGTATGTGCATGTTTTGGCCAGCTGTATAGTCCTTAGAATGACTGGAGAATGTCTGGCTTTCAGTCAAGCATACGTCACGTCCTGAATGTTCTCCTTGGGATCCTCCTCGGCTCGTATCCAAACCAGTGTCTTCTGATTGGGAGCCCAGTGCTCCACCAACTGAGATAGCCGGGGAGGACAATCTATCGGTGTAAGAACTGTAAGAACTTGGAAGTCGTTGATCTCCTGGATATTTATATGTTTTCCTTGCTGAATTGGGCGCCATATTGGGCTGGCGTTTATACTTGGCTTCATGATGGGATTGTTAGTCAATGCAATGTACGCTGCCTCCTCGATCTTTGACTTTCCAGCATTACTCTCTGTCGATGATGGTGGCCCCATCCAGTACTAATCGGTGATCGATGTCTGACCATGCACGCTCTCCCACGCCAGACTTCAGAGTCTCTCACAGGACGGCTGCCTTTCCGTGCTCCTCCAGCTTGGCCGACAGAGGGCGACTCGTCTCTCCTTCATAAGACCTGCCACAGCTGCATGGTATGTCGTATGTGCAGTTCGCCGTGCGTTCATTATATGCCGGTGGTCTGACTTTGGTAAACGTTCTCCGCAGCGTTGAGCTGCTTCTGAAGAGTACTCTGATATTGCACCGCCCATAGATTCTTTTAAATTTCTCTGGCAAACTTTTCTTATATGGTAATGATACCGTCGCTGCTGGATTTTCCTTTGGCCTCGCTGCCTGGTAAGCATTCTCTTTGGGTTTTCCGTCCGTGAAGTCTATCGGGCGACAATGGCATTTACGCGAAGCGTGAAACGTTGTGTACATATTAATATACCAGACGGGAAAGATAGTCTGGACAATCACTCCATCCGTGATATCGAGAAACCGAGTTTTTGAAATACATGCATCCTTGTTTTCAGTGCTTTAAACATATTTCAGGGTGTTTTAAATCTAACGTGGAGATTGATTGAATCTAACGTGGAGGCTCAGACAAACATTAAGGAACGAAAGTGATTACAAACTCCATCAATCTCCACATGTCGACGGAAGAGACGTGCTGATGTCAAATCACTCCGATTGCTACCACAGAGACAATCTGACACATATCTCTCCAAGAGCGACAAAGAGGTCACGCTGACTACGCACACCTCCAATGATGGTAGCTCCGATAAACTATGTTGTTTATGGCACACATGACCGTATCTCCATACAGAACAGGTTAATATCATCGCGCTTCTAGATCAAGCATAAATTATGACCATATTACAACACCTTACGACAAGAGATAGTCATCCTGTCTTCCCGAGCTTTAATATATCTTAGATAGGTGCACCAATCTAGGTCATGCTTTATGCGTCACCCGTAAATATTACAATTACTGGGTCCGACACACCCCGGGACCTGGAGGGTGGCATCTGAACACTTCTAAGTGGAAGGAGTCTTGACTCCGTCGCCTCAGTTGTAACCAACAGGCGTTGCTCTCTCCAACGCTTATGGTAACTTCACGTATATCCCACAAGCACCCAGTGATCTTAAATGGGCGCCGAATGCAGAGTTTGGCGGTTAACTCAAACCTACCCAAATATTCCTAGCTGCATTCAGTCCATCTGGTCATCCTTGTCCATCTCACATGGATGTGCCGGCTTCCGTGTCCCGTGTCGGTGGATTTAGACACTCGAAGAAGTGAGAGGCACGTCAGGACACTTAGTCCCATCCAGCTGGCCAGGAAAGCCCGATCACTAAGGTTTCCTGGAGCTGAGTCCGGCCCCAGCCTCTACGGATGCGAGTGGGGAGGGAGAGGGACAGAGCACGTGGAGCCTAGCCGAAGCCTCTGCGGAGGCTGATGGGGAGGGAGGGGAGCCCGCGGAGTCCGGCCGACGCCTCTGCAGAGGCGGGCGGGAGGGTGGGGAGCCTGTGGAGTCCGGCCGAAGCCTCTGCGGAGGCGGGTGGGGAGGGAGGGGAACAAAGCCTGTGGAACCCAGCCAAAGCCTCTGCAGAGGCGGGTGGGGAGGGAAGAGAGCCTACGGAGTCCGGCCGAAGCCTCTGCGGAGGCAGGTGGGAAGGGAGGGGAATCCGCGGAGTCCGGCCTGTGCCTCTGCAGAGGCGGGTGGGGAGGGTGGGGAGCCCGCGGAGTCCGGCAGAAGCCTCTGCGGAGTCTGGTGGGGAGGGAGGGGAGCCTGTGGAGTCCGGCCGAAGCCTCTGCGGAGGCGGGTGGGGAGGGAGGGGAGCCTGTGGAGTCCGGTCGACGCCTCTGCAGAGGCGGGTGGAGAGGGAGGGGAGCCTATGGAGTCCGGCCGACGCCTCTGCAGAGGCGGGCGGGGAGGGAGGGGAGCCTGTGGAGTCCGGCCGACGCCTTTTCAGACGGGCGTTGGAGCAGATTAGTGTTCGACTCGAGCTCAGCCACAAATCATCGGCTTATGAGTCAGTTGTTTTGAAGTGAGTCGTGAGCCGAATCGGCTCACTAGGAAAAATGCCGCTTTAAGTCATGAGCTGAATCATATTCTTCGTAACTTTCATGCGCTGAATCGTGAACCAACCATTTCTAACAATTTTGTGAGTGAGTCATATGGCTTAACAGTAAATGGTAACATGAGGAAGCACAGTATACCCCAGACAAATTCACACCTTATTTTGGAGTGTTAGAATAAACAGCATGCAGCATTAGATATCAGGCTTTTTGTAATGAGTGCACAAAGTTGGTATTGCAATTTCTAAGCGGCAGTCACATCTTGTTAAACCTCAACTAAAACTTGCCAACTTTCAGCCAGAAACGAGAGAATTTTACATGGTACAAACATCCTAAATACCTATGTCATATGCCAAAATCAGCGAAGGGCTGTCTGCTGCGATTCAACGCACACGATGAGACTGAAGTGAGTCGAATCAAAACAGTTGCAACGGCTGTGAGTCATGCGCTGAGTCGGATCCCAAAATCCGTGAGCCAGCCGTGAGCCGACGCAAAAATTAAAATCGAACACAAATCTACTTTCGGTGGGGGGGGGGGGACGACAAAGCCTCCTACGAGTCCGTACCTAGCCCCTGCGGAGGCGGGCGGGGAGGGACGAGGAAGAGGCTGCAGAGTCCGTCCCCGGCCTCTGCAGAGGCGGGTCGGTAGGGAGGGAGGGAGGGAGGGCTACAGACCCGGCGGCGCCGTCCGCTCCGGACCTGTCTGACCGGTCCGATGGTGGGGTCGCTGGGTGGACAGAGCCCCCAGCGGTCAGCGAGCACCCCGTGCTCGTGGCCGGCAACCATACCATTCCGCTCTCCTCAGAGCAGGATATATTCATAATAATCTTAACTCTTAATGCAGGATAACATCATGCAGCAGCCTGCTTCCTTTAAGTCGTAACAAATGTATCAGTATGCGATGCGGGTACATGCATAGCGATAGATAGCGTCTGAAATACGAGGCCAGCCAAATACTGACTAACTCGTTGCTTTTGCATCTCAAAAACATGGATGAGCAGGGACAGTCTCAGCAAACAGACATGCAGCGTTCATGGTTTTCAGAGCTCTTCAAGAGCAGACTAGTGCATGGGAGCACAGGAAGCATCATAGGTTACCCTCCGATCAAATTTCATCCTATTTCGCCGTCTGCTATTCAGTTGACCTTCAGCGAACTGACAGGTGCAACTAAGCCGCAGGATTTTCACAAAGCCTTCAAAGGAGCTGTTTTTGACGATGGCCACAAAAGGACATGTTTCGAGCTCTCCTCCGATGACATCCGATATCGTTTGTCCACAGTCACCAGTGACCCTGGAAGCGGTGGCAACAGCGACACCTGCCGAGCTGCTGAGGCAGACAGCGAGCTGGCGCCAGCGGCACCGGAGGACCAGCAGCGGACTGGAGAGACAGCGGTGTTGACGCCTCTTTTATACTTCAGAGTAGGTCCACTTCACTTTATGTAGCACCCAGGCAACAGGGAACTCTGATCACCGGAGATCTAATTGTAATATTAGCCGTGCTTCTGGGAAACAGCGGAAGCTGTGATGTTAGGGAGAGGCACCAACCGTGCTTCTGGAAAACAGCTGAAACTGTGAGTCTGAGGAACGGCATCAACCGCGCTACTGAAAACAGCTGCAGGCAGATGCCTTCCGCTGATTTCATCTCGAGCTGATGACAGATGTTCCATAAATAACTGTCATATCGAATCCGAGCCGACAGGTCGACGGGTGGCGAGGTGGGTGCCAGAAGGTCGGCGGCAGGGCCTCACAATCGCCGCCGAACCGGCCGAGCCGCTGCGCACTGGACGGGCCGCAGGCGCCGCCGGACTCCGCGACTGCGCCACAGTCAGCGAGGTCCGAAGCAGGAGACGGTCCCTGTCCCGGGACTGCACCGCTGCCGGCGAGGTGTGGAGCAGGAGTCGACCCCTGTCCCGGAACTGCGCCGCAGCCGGCGAGGTGCTGAGCAGGAGTCGGTCCCTGTCCCGGGACTGAACCGTCACAGAGGCAGTCCTGAACATGGCACAGAGGCCAGCTCCGGGACTGCGTCGTTGGTGAAGAGGTGCTGGACAGGGTAACGAGTCCAGCTCCGGGGCTGCACCGTTACTGAAGAGGTGCTGAACAGTTTGCCGAGTCCAGCCCCGGGACTGCGTCTTCGCTGAAGGAATTCTGAGCAGGGTATCGTGTCTAGCTCTGGGACTGTGTCTTCGCTGAAGGAATTCTAAGCAGTGTATCGTGTCTAGCTCTGGGACTGTGTCTTCGCTGAAGGAATTCTAAGCAGAGTATCGTGTCTAGCTCTGGGAAAATGTGCCGCTGCTGAAGGAGGTGCTCAGTGACATAACGAGCTTAAACCCAGATTTCGCCGAAAAACTTCCAGGAGCTGGGCATTGCTCACCGGCTATTTCTCCTAGGGAATAGCCGTGGAGGTGCAGTCAACTCCTCTCCTGACTGTCGGTCAGTGGTTGAGGTCTGGCTACTGCGTCGTCTCTTCGTGGTGGCGAGCCTGCTCTCGTCCCAAGTAAAACTGACGTAAGATTTCTATATGGGTAAGGATGAAACATGTTCGCTCTGCCGAGGAAGCTATCGTAATAAACGCATCATCGCTGGTTCTTTTTGTTAACTACTTAACCCACACAATGAATCGTCGTTTCTCATAATACAGACTAGTAGGTGGGGGAGAATTCATGCGACACCCCTGGTGTTTTCAAAATGATGAAGATATAGCTTATATATTTCGTATTTACACGCCTAGTGCAATATTACAGTGTGATATAATATTATTTCATTATGACATTATCATCGTATAATATCAATGAAGTTGCATCTTAGTGGAAAGCACCAGTGGATTGGTGTCAACCAGGTCTCGCTAGTTGTGCTAGTTTTGATGCTGTACGTTTCACGATTGAACCCATTATGGCAGGTCAAAGGTCGAATTTCCCAGAAAATCGCACTTTTTCAAGTTTAAAACCCCATTTCTACGAGACCATCCCTTACGGTAACGCAAAGCTTAATCAGGTGTTTTTGTTGTTCAATTCTGAGTACAATGGTGTATATCGATACGTGTGCTGAGCATAGATTTATGATGCTCAAAACACATGGCTATATGGCTCCATTAATGCAGCAATATAGTACCACCGCGCGCGTTCCGCGGTATTGTCGATTGCCGCCTGTCATCCGCACCAGTTGTAAATCACCGTGTAGTGTTCCTCAAGCACCGCCGCTGCTCTGAAACCAATAGTGACGGTTTCGCCAAAAAGGAGGAGCTAGGAACACGTCTTGGGTGTCACGACACGCGCAATGGATGATCTGGATGCGATTGCAAAACATGCCGGAGAGGTATCTTTTAAAAAAGCTTTAATGACGGTTGCATCAACCCCACTTTCATGGCAAGGGTAAAGATAACAAACGCGAATGATTAGAGCCGCCACTTAAGTCCCGGATCTGGTCCGGCGTCGAGAGAGTACCTGGCCTGTACGGATGGCCAAACTTTGAAGCTCAGTAGTTTTTGTTACGGATAAAATTGAGTCTCGTTCAGATAAAATTTCAAATGGTAAGAAAGCGACATAATGCTGACTTGAACTGGAATCTTTCTTATCCGAAAACGATGAGCGTATGCGGGGTGGGATGCCCCTGACTCCTCGGGGGCTTGTCTTTTAACACGAGCGGCCCCCTCGACATTGGCGTACGTGTTCTTTAACACGAGGCCGGCTCAGTTGAGAGTCAATTTGCAGTAATTTAAGGTGTCCTCATAACTGTCAAGCTCGGCCTCAAACCAACTTTACAGCCTGTCTGGAATAATGGTTAACCGACATGCGACATTTGTCATATCTTCCCATCTTCCCATCGATGAAGAAAGGTAAGCGCTCAAGTAATTTGAAAGGACTCAGTAATTTCATCATTGTTTTCTGATTGCTAGTAACACCGGCAATCGCGACAGGCTGTAAAGCATGTGAAAGTGAGTCTATTGGGCATGCTCCCTAATATTCGCACTGGCGTAAGTGCACTTCCCTATAGCAATTAGAGGGACCCGGGAGGCCTTTTTCAACTGTGCGCCTACTCCCCGTCCCAACCGCGCCGGCTCCCTCTGCTCTGAATGCGCGTCAAGTCAAAACGGAGCCAATATCTCCCACCGGCCTTGACCCGGGATCTGAGACGGTCTCCGGGGCCGAGGTCGCTTGACTCCCGATCTCCTGCCGTGGCCTGGACGTGTGTTTTACAGGCGCGTGCCCCGCGCTGTCGGCTCACCTCCAACGCAGCCGGCCGCGAAATCCGTCGCCATTTTGAGGTCCTGTTGCCGCTTGAGCCTCGACTGTGGGTTAGTCGGTCTCGGCCTCCTGGGAGACAGAGGTGGCCGTCAGACAACAGCACTCGTGGCTTGCAGGCAGCAGGCGTAATCGTCGGAAAGCAGGAATAGTTGGCAGACAGCGGACGAAGCTGGTTTAGAACGAACGCGGCTGGCAGACAACAGAGGCAACTGGCAGACAACAGACGTGGTCGATGGATGGTGGACGTGGCTTTGTGAAAGCGAGCATGACTTACGCGAAGGGGGATGCCAACGCTGCTGCCAGCACGGGACGGCAACACCAGTCCGCGCCCGTTCATAGTGAATGAGCACGCGAACTCAGCTAGTAAAAGTATATTTTTATATAGTGCGATCTCAGATCTGGAAAATACTTCGTCTTTATGGTTATATCGTGCTTTGGTTCACAGCTATTAGAACTCTGTGTCCAGCCGTTCTCCGTCGGTGACAACGCCGGAGAATAAGGTGATAAAGAACACAGGCCCCGTAAAACGACGACAACTCTGTGGTCATGATGCACTTTTATCACAACTGATTTTTTTAAGAAATACAATTTTGATTAATAATTTTCTAAATTAATAATCAATTGAAGTACAATTTTTAATAAAAAAGTTAATTCAAAATCTAAACGTAAAATGGTAGCCGCGCAGTACGGGGGCGATCAGAGTCGGCCGGGCCGGCGCGGCGGGCTCGGCGGCCCGGGCGGCCGGCTCTGCACGCTACCCAGCTCCCTACCGGCCGGCCCGGCCCGCGCCAACACTACCAGCTGAAGTCATTGTTTGGAAGCTGACAGCGTCGCGGATATCAGCCTTGTTCTCCACTCACAAGGGCACCGGGGATCTCCGTTGTGGCTTAAGTAGCGGCGTTAGATTGGCCTGGAAAGAAGGTCCCACACCCAGTGATTTTGAGAAGTTTTGGTGCTTCAAAAACCCAGATTTGCGTTTACGCGTGGAAAATGAAGCATATACAGACACGTGAAAGGGTACTTCCTGTTACCAATGCGCTTCTTTTTTATCGCTGTTTGCGTCTGAGGCTTGTATCAGTCGGTGACAAGTATAAAATTGAAATGCAAGGTAACGCCGGATTCTCCAAACTTGCTTCCCTGAATCCCTGTGGTGTGTAGTTGCATGCACTAGCGACACTCATTCAATGTATGTGGTTTCTTAATAACCAAATCAAGAAGCTATGGTTATATCAGTAAACCATGGCTGCACTATCGTGAAACTGACTACAAAAACTGTATGCTCATTAGAAAATGGCTCGTAAGTGGTTATAAACTGCGTCAACTGCCCGGAAACACGTGCTCGAGTGAGGTCATCTGAATAACATACCAACTAGCTGACGTTGATGGAATGGAGCAAAAACAGTGTGCTACAGTCTGCCAGATTTAGTAAACTTTTTGAAACCACGACAGCATTCCTTATTGCATTGCTACAGCACCACTTTATCACACAGCCCGTCAAGCCCACTATCTCGAGAAAACCAAGCTCACCTTTACCCATACGAGGCAGCTGTTTTGGCAGCATTCTCCGAAAACGGTTTTATTGTTTTTGAAAATTCAGTCCAAGGCTACCACTGGGAAAACGCCTCAGCTACTATTCATCAGGCGGTGACATACAAAAGAGGAAAATGGTAAGACATCCAAAAGCTACTGAACCATGAACGACATTATGCAACACAGCACGGCGACAGTGTGCAGATTTCATCACGGCAAAGGGTCATGCGCTGACATCGGCGGGATTGTAAAGCATTTCAGAGCAAGAGCAGGCCAGCAGTATCCAGAGTCTGAGGTCATCACACCAACAGCAATATTTGTCCCCTGTGAAGGTAACTTGACAGACGAGGTAAGATATGAAAGCAAAACTTCCTATGTGCCCTTTGCCAAATATCCCGAAGTAGAGAAACGACAATGAAAAGGACAAGACAAGCTCAGTGCATGCAATTTTATAGATTCACGGCATATACAAAAATGTGTTTTTCCCATTGAAACTTACAAAAGAATAATATTCAGTTCCATGCTCATCTTAAGTTGTTTCAGCTCAGTCCGCACTACTTGGCCTGGCAAAACATCGTATGACAACCGGAAGCCACGGGTTTCCTGCGACAAGGCGAGTACATATACCATGCCCTCCAATTGCACTTCGCTCCTACCGCGTTATTATCGCCTTTTGGAACCGCGCTGCATCACCTCATATACTAATTCACCGCTAAGACCACTGCGTAGAACATCGCTGCCACATGCGACTTCCAGAACAAAGTACAGCACCATCTATCTTGACATCCACTGCACACACAATCCGAGACAACGGATCGCATTGTCATGTGAATACTCCTGAACGAACACAGACACATCGAAGCGCTTTTGCTAGGGAGGGAGTAGGGAAAGTTGCATTAGTTTTTTCCTCTGAGTGTCCTCCTGCTTAAACTACTGAGGATAGGACTAAGATTCGTGTATCTGCAGACAGCTGAAACCTTGATCTACGTATGCCACGGTGAAGTTTTTGAGAGAGCGTCTCTGTTTTTTGGTAAGCTTCTCAATGCATCCGTTTCAAATGCGACAACCTGCCTCACTCCGTGGTAAATTGCATCATATCAAATGGGAAACCGTGCTGTTGTGTTTTTCATGGGGCAAGCTCAATGTAAGTTAGCTGAATTCGTTACAACTTGCAGACCAAATGCGCTCGTCTGTGCTGCTTCATGATTCGTCGTGATTGCGAGAAATGAAAAATACTTGCCCTTTTCATCAGTCTGTGTTCGTTTTGCGACCATTGCCACCTCGTTTTCGGTTGCTCGGGTGGAAATTAGTGGATCTACATAGGTAATATAACTGTAGACTTGTCTAGATGAGGATAAGGCATGACAATCATGCCAATAAATCAGTGGCAGTGCGTCAGTTAGTGACATATTGCTGGTACATTGTGTGCTCCATGCACAGCTGACACATTTCGCATCACCCAAACATTTTAAAAGAATGTGCGCGCAACCCTGAAATTCTAGGGCGTCAACATGTTTTGCAGCATGTACCACCGTACTTCCCATCCACTTAGAATAGCCTTCAAATAGGGATAGGTATGCCGCAAGCCTTCACACGCATTTACACCCATCGCTATAGTTTCCAGCGATGTACGAACAAAATTGTCTCGCTCGCTCCAAATCACGTGCACGTATGAGGCTGGAGGAGCAATGAAAGATAGCTCTCTGATAGCTCTGAGAGTAAGCTCTCAGTGAGCTGGTGGGTCAGCTGAGTGACTCAATTTGGAACAAATTGCCCCGATACTACTTTACTCGGGACATAACGCAACTCACCCCACTCTTCCCTGCAGAATGTGTAAGTTCTCCTCTTACATCTGGAGCGGACCATTCGTCTTTCTTTGGATTTCAAAGCGTGCGGAAAACGAAGCTACGGTGTGCTTCAGCCTCAACACAGACTTCAGTCGGGCTGAGAGTCGAGTGTTAACCAGCGCCGACCTGACAAGGCCCTCCGGTCACGATCCGGACCTCCGACCACCTCAGATGGCGCAGGGCGCATCAAATATCGATAGGATGGTCTCCAGTGCCGGGGACCGATGCTCAGTCACTGGCGACCCTCTCCTCATCAAGGATCGGACTCAGGCCAGTGCCGACAGTGTTCACCATTGGACCTGTTCCCCTCCCCTGTTGATTGCCGAACGCTTGTTTGGTAACCGTTAACCTGGATGCTGCGTTACTGGTAACTGGAAGTTTTGTGCATGCTTAATGATAACAACTTTGTTTGATATGCTGGCAAAGTGCTCCCGCGTACATTACGGTCTAACGTGCATCTGTTTTTTACCATACAAAGATGACTTATTGCATGCGGTCCGCACGAAAGAATATCTACAAAAAAACGGTCTCGTTCCATTGCATTCACTTATTTGGTTTCCAGGTGGCCATTTGACGAAACAGGTCTCTCTTTTTTCAGATGCTGAGTATGTGTCGTGCATTTTTTAAGAGGAGCGTGCGCAGGATTTTGTGATGGAGAGGCAAAACTCCAGGTTGTGTTTACCACCGCAGACCGCGAAATTTGTTGCGTGACACTAAAGCACCACGTGCTATTGATGTACTTAACTCCACGTATCAACGCAGAATGCATTAGTATTGACATAAGTCGCGCGGGTATTAAAAGAAATGTTTCACATTTGAATATATTGCAACGGGCAACAGGCATGTTAAAACAATCTCACTTAGAACTTTTGGTATACGTTTGAAGTGGAAAGACTGCTCCAGGCAGCACGGTGCTCTGTTTAGCAAATATGGTCCTCAATGCGTCTTGATCTGATTAAGTCATCCTACCTTGAACAACATTGATTGAGAACCAGTTGACTGCCGTTTTATCTTGAAATCGTGCTCACGAACGCCAGATATGAACGCCACGACAATTATATTTTTATGGGCCTTGGTCGTCCCATGGCTTATGAAATGGCAGGACTTTAATGACGTTATGATGACGCCATGAATGCTAAGATGACTTTGAAATACTCTCCTTGATATAACTTTCCCCATTTTCGCGGATGTTTAGCGCAGAAAATAAGGGATATTAAGCTTTAAGTAGAGCAGAATTACGAATAGCACAAAAAGGTCATCAAGGTGGCCATTTTAGTTCCAAGCCGCGTACAAATGTGGATCACTTCCTTCAGTGCATGTGAAATGATAAGGAACACACACCAGAAAGGGTGTCAACGTGACGGTAAAGCGGTTGGTACATGCGCTGAAATATGCTACTCATGCACATTACGCATGGTCGTAAATGATATTACAGTTTCCAAAGCTGTATGAAATTAATCGCGCAACCTAAACTTTTGAGAGACGGTCGATTCATTAACCAGACCACGCGGCAAAAGACCCAACATCGCAGAAATCGTGAATATGCGCAAGTTTGATTTGGTGGGATTTGCTTGTGTTGGACACTACAGGCGTACAAAAAAATATGTACAAGGTTAATTAGCCGATGCTGCCCGCCTTCACTAGTGAGAGGGACGACCACCGTCCAAAACACTTTCAGACCTGCTAATGATCCCTGGATCAGAATCTAGACCCCTGGGTGTATTACGCCTTGACCTTTTCCATTCGGCCTTGCCTGCAATACAGCAATTTCGGCGCACCTCATCACGGGCTATTCCGATCAACGTCGCCCCAGTTTCAAATGCATGGGGCTTTCAAATGTTTGTCCTTACAGTCAATGCGTAACCAATTCCATGGCATGAATAGAGCTAACTCGATTCCTGTTTTCCACTGGATGAGCCGTTCAATGTTTAAAGTGGTTGGAATTATTTCGGAGCAAGTCCGGACAAGTTTTGATTTTTACCGTCTGGCACTTGATTGAATTCAGAGATGCCCTATGCCTGAGAGGCCACTTGGACAAAAATCCTGTATGGATTTCAGGTGTTGGTACATCCCGTGGCCAAGTAGTCTGTGAAAGTCATCGCGATAGAGAGCAGCGACTCCAGGACCGGGACCTTCTCCTCAGGGTACGCATCTTGAGGCTGTTTTGCAGTCCAGGCCCACAACTTACCGCTATTATCCCTACGTGGCAGGTAAAATTGCATCCGACACTTTAGTGGCAACCACACCGAGGGCCGTTTTGCGCGGGTGGTCGAAGGGTCACCGCGCGTATTGCGTGTCAGCCCACTTTCGCGGCACATCACGTTGTGACATCGCAGCAGCCCACTTACCCGGTTTAAGTTTGATTTTGCCCGCTGTCTGGGCCCGGGTGGTGCAAAAGTTGGCCGTCGTGGCGGCGTCGTTGTCGAACGGGCTGGAGAATCGGCTCGCCCCTCACCGAGAGCGTGGACGCCCCGCTGTCCACGGCGTTCCACCTTTCACGCCGTCCGACCCAGCCGTCCGATTAATTCGCCAACGGAGACCGCAACCCGCGCCTGGCGGCCGACCTCCGGCGCCGGTGGTTGGATTGGTGGGTGTGTGCCCGGCGCCAGCCAATCAGCGCGCGTCGTCCGAACCGGCCCGCCGCCGCCGCCGCCGCCGTCGCCGCTCCAGGGCGCACGCGCCGACGGGCGTCGCCGATCGTCGGCGTCGCCGCGATACGGATCAGAAACGATCGTTACCACGGCCGCGGGCGACGCGTGCCGGCCGGTGGGACAGTGCGTGAACGGTGCGGGGCGTGGGAGGGCGGCGCAGGGACGTGTCGGGGGCTACAGACTGATCAGCTGGGCCGCAGCGCAGCTCAGCAACACCGCCGACCTCTGCCGCAGGTGAGGCGCTTCACGACGTCACCGTTGGACCAGCGCCAAGTCAGGCGGGCTGGCTATGTTTAGGCGAGGTCACTGCCTGAGACGCGCTGCGGTCGGACAGTGCCTGCGCGCGCCTCTAGGCCACGCCGCCGTGGCTGTAGCCTGTTATGGGCGGGGAGAAAACCTTATCAGGTGCTCAGGTGCTTCGGACGGGGGCCGGTCTGACTGGCGCCCAGACTGTCCTGCGGCTGTCTGAGCCTGGGCAAATCAGCTGGCGCCACACCCAGATCGCGTCGCCCAGCTGTTTAACGGGGTCGCGGTATACCCCAGCTTTTGTTTACCGTAGTTCTATGTTCCTGTAACGTGACAATAGTGAAGACGGTTAACCCCAAAATGTTAAGGCCCCGTGCACACAACGCCTATATAGCGTTTTGTCATAGCCCCAGTGGTGTGTGCACTATATAGCGTTTTGTCATAGCACAAGTGCGCACGTGTGCTACTATGTGTGCCACGAGTGCACGTGTCCCCACCTTCCCCACCTTACCAAATGTGTGACAAGCATTGATTCATGCATACGTGACTAGATGTTGGCAACTAGACATTCCGGGTAAATGCGCAAAAACATTGCAGTCGGGAACACGCGCTGCTTTTTCACCACATGCAAGAGATTATGCGTGCCTGCGGTTCGCACGCTAAAATCCCTTTAAGTGAAAGTTTCTGAGATGTGCTCCCTCCATTACGTATTCCTGGTTACGCCCCTGTTCATACCACGCAGGTCTTTTGTATCATAGGACTGTGGGCTGGCTGGTTGGCATTACCTTCATCACAGACACTTCACGAACACTTCAATCTCATGACGCTTTTAGTAAGATTTTCCATTACTGTGCGCCACTAAGTTGTGCAACAGGTTTATTTCAGTGCTTTGAATGCTACGTGGGTGACTTACCGTGATCAACAACCACCATAAGTGTGGCGTGCGCTTTGTCGATCTCGTTGGAATTTGTTAGCGAGGACGGGGACCACAGCCCGGATTTAAAGGGAGGGGCGGGGATCTATGAACGCATAGCGTAAGAAGACCGAGGGAACAGATTATTTTGTGAGCGTAAGAAATCCATACACAAGGGGAGCGGCGAACCCCCGTCCCCACGCTCCCCTGGATGCGCTCCTGGAGGGGACGATGCAGGAAGTTGCTGATATTGCTGGCCTGGCATGAGCAGACTTACTATGTCGGAGATAAACGAGCAGCACCGCTGCGCTGACCTTTCAGCATTTCCGGTCACAAGATGCCTGACGACAGCGGGCCCGCGTGGGCGTGGCGTGGTTACAGAACTGCCCATCGGCGGCTGATGCTGCTGACTGATGTTTCCTGAAAGCATGTCCTAAGCCCAATGCCCCCCGCCCCCCCCCCCCCCCCCACCGAACAACCGTTATCAATAAAACCAGCGAAACCTGGGCTGACATCCCCTGCCGCCGATATACTGGGCTCAGCTGATAAAATCGGTCTGGATACCTGCCGGGCTTCTTGCGCTTCACTGGCATGTGTGCCATGAGTGGCTATGGGTGGACCAAGAGTTGTAACTTACGTCGTTGAAGTTCTCATGCTGAACTAATCGATCTCGATGTACCAGTATATCCTGGCAAAACAAAGGTATGGAGCAATCGTTACTCGACCTTTAAAGGTCATGGTTGCGAGTGAAAAGGCGTCAGTGAAAATTCAAATTCAAAATCTCAAGGCTTGTAAAATAACTAATAAAGCTTCCACATCCTGACACCGAATAAACGGCACCGCGCCTAGGGCAGCTACAGGCATAGAGTGTTCAGCCAAAAAATTCCAGTCCCCCGTGACAGGTGTAAAGCTGGAACGCAACCCGCTATAGGACGTCGGTGCTTAAAGCAGCGACGAGTTATTTGTTTTCTCAGCAGTGTGTACGATCTCCGTAAAAATCGGTCCTCAGACGCTCATCATACCGGTCTGGGATGCTGCGTCATGTCTCTTCTACATAAATGTCCTCGCGTGCAGGTTATAGGTGTCGGACATCCAGCGCATTGTGGGTCAGGATGTGACGGCTTGAATAGTTCATTACCATGATATATGTTTTGTGGTAGAGTCTACACACATTTAATTGTGTAGGCATTGACGGCAAATCACAGGCAGGACATGGATTCAGCGAGGATCAATTTTCAGGGAATCGCTCAATCTGGTGCAACAACTGAGTGTAAGACGAAGCCATACATCTGTGAGATACTTTCTTAGGGACCAGAGCAATTTAGTGAGCAAATTGTATTGACCTATGGTCAGGTGTGAAGATCAGACCAAGGTCAAAACCAACCCGTTTTATTACTCCAGGGCTTGGTGGATGGGATAGCTTCTGGTGCTCATTTTTAATTTATTTGATGTCAGAAACCGCATCATACATCTTCCATGGGCTTCTGAAAGTCTATAATAAGTCACCGGCCTGAAATGACCCATGTCAGCGTTTTGTTTTTAGGAACATACCGCCTAGCGTAATCTTTGTCGCTCATTGAAGTGCAAAACTCAAAGCAGTTTTGTATGATTTTGGTCACCACGGCCTTCTTAAGGTCAAAGAAGTTACTTAGCTTAAATGACCACGTGGCCTTTTGCTTGGACCAGATGTCTAGATCCCGTGAGGACTTTAGAGACCAGCCTGGGGTTTGACATTGTTTGACCTTATTCGACCCGAAGGCAATAGCCTAGGTCAAGGCCACCTCAAACGGTGATCGAAGTCAGTTCACGTACAGGTCAACACGCCCTGTGAATTTGGTACCTCTAGCCCTCTTAGTGCCTGAGATCTCAGGACGGTCAACGTGACCCCCACCTGAGCGAACGGCGTCCATCCAGCCACCCGGGTGCGTGTTCACCAGCATGTTCTATATGATGCCCTTGGTACTGCGAAGGATTACTATTTTCGGAATAAAAACTCATGATGTCTGCAATTAAAAGAAGCTCTGAGCCCTTCTTGCTAATTCAAAGCGGGTCACGCTGGAGCAATGTTTCCTGATATAAATATTTAAGCTACAGACTACGCCTTGGTGACGCCACATTTAATTTGACGCATCTGCACACACTAACCATCAAGGCTCATGTTGAAAGTAATTGAATGCTTCTTTGATGAAATGCAACCAAAAGGGAGATGAAATGTAACATTCTGTTGATTGCTGATTGATCCCCACTCTGTTGATGCGCGAACACTGGCTAAAATAACTGTGAACAAATAAAGTAGGATAAGTAATGAATGTAGACACAAAGATGGGTGATGCAACGACGCAGTTCTAAGTAGATAGGCCACGCCTTAACAGCGTGTATGTGCCGAGAATCGGCAACTCTGTAAGCAAATGCACGTGTAACACAATTCCTAGGAAGCGCCTGACGCGCCTGCTGGGCTCATGCATTCCTCGCAATGTTTACTGGCACGGCACCCGGCTACCAGCCGGTGGATGTGGACCGAGCGCGACGGCGGGGCGGCGCCACCAGCCTGGCGACACGACGCCCTTCCAGGGACACGCGAGACGCCACCGCGGGCGATCCATGCTCAACGGCTCGTGGTGTGGCTAGGTACACTCACGCCTAACCTCCTGTTCGTCCTTATCCCATTGGTTAGGTTTCCTCTCCCTTTTGCACTCCTACACTTCCTTTCTTTTATTTTCTGTTTGGTACTTAGCGATAGGAAGGGGTCAAAACGTTTTGCATCGGCTTTTTAAACGTTCACCAATGACGCCGCGGAATTCGTCCCAGTGACATGTGTTCGGTGTTGACAGATTGCCGTCATGTTTGCTCAATGGTTGCCGTTATTGACTCTTCTAGCCCCGGGTAAGACATTCTGAGACGACAGCGGCTTAATTGTCACCAAAGGGTGACGACGGCACCGATGTCATTTTCAATTTAAATTGATCATTTTGACGGATATAGCACGCTGAAAATGAGCCAGAGTCTCGCGATGCCACACTGGAGCTAAAAATCTCGGAGGCAAACTTTCGACCCTGAACATTCCTTGGGGCTAAGTTTTGACAAAAACGCTGACAAACACTAAATATTCGACAAAAAGATGCACACTTGTCGGTAAGGGTAGTCACCGACGAAGCTGGTACGCACAAAATATGACTCACTGGCTGCCAGATACATACTATTTTGTTCTGCCTGTACGTCTCGCATAAGGCCTTTTCATATATGCATCTTGCATACTACTCATACTGTAGTAAGTACATTAACTAAATTAAATGCAGCCAATTCACACACAACCCACTGATGCGGCCCGAAAAACGAAAGAAATTAACGTTCGATACATTTCTGGATGCACACTCGGTGATACCTAATATAATTCAGCTGATGGCATTGCGGCGATTTATCGATATAAAGTTGATGATTTCAAATATTTTGTTAATATTTATTAGCTATTTTACCATCATTTTATGTATCACCTTGGGCATCATCGAGGTTGCATCCAGCAATGCATTTAGTTATGACTTCATTTGCTTTTTCAGCGCTTTCGGCGTTTGTTTCTTTACGCAAATTTGAAATGTTATTGGATTTTAGAGAGCGAGAGAGCGAGAGAGATCTATGTATATATATATATATATATATATATATATATATATATATATATATATATATATATGTGTGTGTGTGTGTGTGTGTGTGTGTGTGTGTGTGTGTGTGTGTGTGTGTGTGTGTGTGTGTGTGTGTGTGTGTGTGTGTGTGTGTGTGTGTGTGTGTGTGTGTGTGTGTGTGTGTGTGTGCATCTGTGCGTATATACACATGTGTGTGTATGTATGTGTGTGCACGCCATATTCATACAGAAGGACTATGGAACTAATACAAAGATACTCATAGAACCAGATTTTTATGAATAATAGCCAGGCACACAAAGCTTTTAAACAGGTACTCATACAATAACGTGTAGGAACTCATCTCATGCATTTCAAATGATACGGGAACACCGAAGACTCCCCCCCCCCTCCCCCCGATGTTCCCCACCCGGCGGCCATTCGGCATTCCAGCACCT